TCCGTTATCTGTTTCTCCGTTCTCTGTTCCAGGATTTTTCGACTATAACTTCCGACCGGTTTATGCTACATGCTTCAAATTTTGCTCCTTTTTAACAGTCCATGAGGTGCATAAGATGTGTAAAAATGGCTGTGGCCGAGTTTCGGCGTCTTTTTTTTTTTCGATTTTCGGCTGTTCTTTCGAGATTTGACAGGCAAATAGCGTTCGGTCCCCTAAAGGCAGGTGTTGTAATTGAGGGGGTTGGGAGGTCGGGAAGAATTAAAAAAAAATAAAAAATCGCGGTTGCAGGGGCCTAACAACAAAAATCATTTCTCGAAAACTGTCTATGCAACCCAAAAAATTCTTGAACGAAAAGACGCACAAGATTTGGCCCCCAAAACTTTTATTGTTAGTAATTCTCCAAGAATGTGGGCCACACGTTCAAAGAAACTGAACCCCTAATAGTGAAAATTGGGTATAACTAAAAGACTGTGTTTCAGATGTTAGTTTCTTTTACGTGACGACATAACCCGTATAGACAGTTAAAACTTTTGTGTTTAAGGTATTGTAAAGGGTGTAAAGTTTGCTAAATTTGCAGATATCGACTTCAAATTTAGCAGAGAATTAAAAATCCAAGCCCAAATTGGGTACACTCAAATTTATTATTTATTATTTTGGCATCCAGAAAAAAATGCTTTATATATTTATTTCGGGTATTTTTTCGATTATATACAGGGTTTTCCAATAATAGACAAAAATCTAAAAGGCTAAGAAAATTGTTTTTTTTTCAGAAAAAATTACTAACTGCGAATCAGAAATCAGAAAAAATATGGTCAATCGTATAGGTCGTAATATGAATTATTATTTGTTGTAGTTGTATTATAATTATGAAAATCACTATACCTCGGGTTCCGTCAAAACGCGATAACGTCATTCATTGTGAGGGGAGAGAATTTCAGGTCTCGTCTATCATACAGGGTGCGCGAGATAGGTGAAATAATATAATTGGAAATCGTTATCACTTACACCATTTTTTATATTTATCAATGTTTGTTGTGACTTAGGCGATACGTGAAAGACGCTTTATATAGGGTGTATGCACAATATAATTACGCGAAGCGGTTTCTTTTTTAAATAAAAAGCTGCCTCGGGCAACTTGCTACTAACTTGCGAAAGCAATCTTGTTTTGCTTATTGCTCCAACTGAAAGTCATGGCCAACTGGGATTATTTAACAAAAGAGAGAGAAGAGAGAAGTACTACTAGGGATTTTTTTTTAATATAAATCGGCAAGGAATTCTTATTCAGTACAAAGAATACACAACACCGTTTGTAAAATCTTTGATTACGGTTTGATTTTCATTTTTTTTTTCTGTTCAATAGATCTCTCAAAAGCGCACTGAAATCTTATGTTGCTTTTGACATCAACCTAAAGTCATGGCCAACTGGGACTAATTTTTGATGTCAAATATCGAGAAGGGCTATTAGAGATTTCTTTAAGAATAAAGCGTCTTTTTCTCTACTTATTCAGGACTACAAAAAACCTAACTTATACTAATTTTTAATAATTACTCCTGTATAATGTTTGTTTATAGGTCACTTTTGATAATTCTGTTTTGCTGAATAAATCTTACTAAAGAGAAAAGAAACGGTTTTTTCATATAGCATCGACTAAAGTCATGGCTACTGCTGATAAGGACAAACCCTCTTCTCAGTTAGTCACAATTCTTGCTTTTAACTCTGTGCTTGTATGTGGAGATATTATAGGCTTTCTATTATTTTCTAACGTATTTGTGACAATGCTGACAATTTTTTTTTATTTGACAGAGACAGTATTAGAAATATGAAAACAATGAAGTTGAATACACTGCTCAAAACTTTGAAAAATAGTACTTTAAGAGTAGTATCAGTTTTTTTATGAACCCCTGGACCTGATTGTTGACCTACACATAAGACTCGACACTGTATTCTCAGTGTGGCATTTGTGCAGTTTTACTGGTCCCTTTCTCAGCAACAAATTCATTAAACACTTAGGTCGAATACCTATCCATCTGCCTGCTATTCTCGGGATCATTGACAATCATCATAGGTAAAATATTAAGGGTATGAAACACAGAACAAACGGAGCATAACACAAAAGGAAATAAAAAATCATGTACCTGCGACGTGTAATAATTTTTTTTAATCTAGTCCTTATTGTTTTAATTAATGCCATGTATTGTTAATTAGTGTTTAAACCAGATATATTAACACAATTGACACCCACCTACAAGGTTAATTTAAAAAAAAAAGTGCAAATTCAAAAGTTTGGATACGACTTTTGCTCTATTTTCTTATGTAATGTCAGAAAAACAAACGACGATCGCAAGCTGTCAAAATGAAAGCAACGTTATTTTTTTTAATGGAATGCCCTATATATTATTAGTTTAAATTGTAGACCTTTTTTTTTAAATTTCCGAAACATATAGTTTATGGACATTTCATTTAGCCGTATTACAACCATATTATCTATGTTTGCAATTGTTTTGACAACTAATCAAACCTAAAGATCTGCAGCGTAAGTTAAATAACTTGAGACATTTCAAGTGGGTTATACTGAGGAAGAAAAACGCCAAATAATAAAATTGTATTATTCACATAATTTCGCAAGAGTTAAAAGAGAATATCGACAAATATATCCGGGTAGAAGAGTTCCTTCAATAAATACAATTAAAATAGTAATTAAACAATTTGAGGACCGAAATAGTGTCACACGAAAGACCAGAGCAATAGAAAGAAATTTTGATGAAGACCTCAATATATTACTTAACTTTCAAGGTAAATTATTACACTATCATCATGACTTTAAGTTCTACTTCCTTAATTTTTATATTTCACATTTTTTAGAAAATCCTGAACACTCTATACCTGACGTTAAAATATTATCCGGAAAGTCCTATAGTAAAATTCAACGAACTTTAAAAAATAAAAGTTTCAGCCGTATATGATGAACATAAAAGTCAGAGACCCGAGTTTTGCAATGAAATATATACGAAGGGGTACCCAAAAAAAAACCGGAATCATTTTTTATAAACTATATATTGTTTTGAAAATCACAGAACGACCTTATCCCCTTCAAAATACTCTCCATTACAACTAATACATTTGTCCCGGCGGTGCTTCCACTGTTCGAAACATTTTTTATATTCATCTTGGGCTATAGCCGACAGCTCATCCCTCGTTTTTTTCCTGACCTCTTCAACGTTGTCAAATCGCTGTCCTTTCATGTCCCTTTTCATACGTGGAAATAAGAAGAAGTCACACAGAGCGAGATCAGGCGAGTAAGGTGCATGGGGCAGAGGAACCATGCCATTTTTAGCCAAAAACTGCTTAACAGAAATGGCTGTGTGTGCAGGTGCATTATCGTGGTGAAAGAATCAGTCCCTTGTCCGCCACAAATCGGATCTTTTTTGTCGAATACTGTTGCGCAATCTTCTTAAAACTTCCAGATAAAAAGCTTGATTAACGGTCTCACCTGGTGGAACGAACTCTGCATGAACTACACCGTTGATGTCGAAAAAGCAAATCTGCATCGTTATGATGTTTGATTTGACCTGACGACATTTTTTTGTACGGGGAGACAGTGACGTCTTCCATTGGCTGGACTGTTGCTTCGTTTCTGGATCGTAACCATAGCACCATGACTCGTCACCAGTAACTTTGAAAGAAAATCTGGATCCGTTTCAAGCTGTTGATTCAAAGCATGACATGTTTCAACTCGATGTTCTTTTTGCATGTCAGTCAGAACACGAGGAACAAACTTGGCAGCAACTCTTTTCATTCCAAAATCTTCGGTTAAAATTCGCTGAACCGTGCTCCAAGAGAACCCACTAATCTTTGATAATTGTTCAATTATTTGTCGACGGTCTGTGAGCACAAACTCTCGAATCTTTTCAATATTTTCGTCGATTCGAGCAGTTGATGGACGTCCAGAACGAGGTCGGTCATCAATTGACTCGTCAAACCACTGGTACACTTGAGTTTTTCCCATCGCATCGTCTTTATAAGCTGTTTTTAACATTGAAACAGTTTCAGCAGCACTTTTACCGAGCAGAAAACAAAATTTCACAGCTGCACGTTGTTCTTTTAAACTTGCCATCGAAAAAAATAACAAAAAAAACAGCGTTAACAAAAAATTGCACTGCAAGTAAACAAAACAAGTTAAATTTAAAACGAAGGTGGCGTTGAACTCGCAATAAGTTGTACTATCCACAACCTAGCGGCAGAAAGGTGTACTATACAAGCTCTGCGCTCGGCAATTCAATTCCGGTGTTTTATGGGTACCCCCTCGTAGAAGATCTCAAGAAGATGGAAATTGTCCAAACAAAATAATGTTAGGAATTATTTTAATTTAATTTGGCATCAAGATGGCGCAACCGGTTACCGATTATCTAAATAATAAATATAGACTTTGAATCGGTATGCAAGGAACTATCAAATGGTCCGCCGACAAATGATCTGCCGACCTGAATCCTTGTGACCTATTTTTAGTAGAGATACTTAAAAAATAAAATTTGTTATAAAAGGCCTGAAAGTTTACAAGTGATAAATAATATCGTTTTACATCTAAACACAGAAAACCCCCGATTTTATCACCTGGTGTATTAATAGAACATTGAAAGGAAATATTGTCCGATTTAAAGAAAATAATGGAAGTTATGTGAAAAATGATTAGCATTAAATATAATTTTATTATTTAACTTACGCTGCAGATCCTTAGTTTTGATTGGCCGTGTTAGTGTTGATTGTTGTATATCAAATTTATATTTGCGCGCTGACCGGTTTCTATTTTTCGACTGACTGACTAGGGCGCGGCGCTCCGCCTTTATAGCACGAGACGCTTTTGCGGTGTAGCCGGTCCACACATTCCCTATATACATCAATATAATATTTTAAAAATACCAAAACAGAACTGTCGATATTTTTCGGCAGATTTGCTAATGAATGGTCGACAGTTTTAATTGATGGTAACATTTTGTTTCAGAGGAATGCACGGCAGACAGATGCAGCAGGGTTCCGTGTCAACACGGAGGCAAATGCCTCACTAGCGAAACGTCTGCCGTCTGCTTGTGTCCTCTGGGATTTTCGGGAGATTTATGCGAGATACGAGTTGACCTACAGGTAAGCTATCATATCACGATGGTTTAAAAAATTTATAAAGGGAGAAAAAATTAACAAAAATTTAAGAATTCTTTCACGATAATTATAAAAAATTAAAATTCTTAAGACCCACTTTTAAAAATGGTGGTAATTAAGGAAATAGTAGTAATAATGGTTTTCAAATATTAGTATCAATTGAGTATAAGTTTTCGGTAAATTAAGGATAAATTCCTGCTACAACTTTGTATTCAAAATTAGTTTTATTACGTTTCATAATACCTATGTTTATTTTATAACCTTTGTTTAAACTACTTTTAATTTTTATCTCCAATTGTTAACTTTTTTAATTCATTTATATACATATATTATATTACATATATATATATATATATATATATATATATATATATATATATATATATATATATATATATATATATATATATATATATATATATATATATATATAGAAGAAGCGAAGGACAGTAACGGGGCTACTGGTAACACACAAACAAACTGTTAATTCTTGGGATCACCCCAACATTGATGGATGGCCGTAAAGGGAAGAATAAAAGATGTTGAAGGTCAAAGCAAAGTGGCAATTTGTTGTAATATCTAGCTTTCGCCCCTGGATACAGGCTTCATCAGGACACTAAGTCATATAGAGAACAAAAAAAAACATTTCATCAGAGTTAACAATCTAACCAAAAAAAAGTAAAAAACTTACACAACACGCCTCTTTCAACCTCTACATATAGAGAGATGACATTGGTGTATAAAATAAGGTATTTGGCCAGTTACAATTATCGACATAACACTCGATGGATGAAATTTATGGAAAAAAACTGTAAAAAAATATTAACCTCGACGATAACGTTACAAAACAATCACACTAACACAAAACGTTAAGGTCAATAAAATATCCGGAATAATAAAATATTTAAAGATGAAAAAAAAACAACCAATTTGTTACAAACGACACTCCGTATTGTCGAGAAGGAAACTAAATGTGCGGGAACTTATTGACAATTCGCAATAACCTAAAACAGTCAATCCTAAAACCGGTCAATGATACCAACTCCACAGCCAACTAAAACATATGTAAAACCCCAAACAAGGGAAGGAATTTTAAACAAAATTCATTCAAATATGCAACCCATTATACACTATTTCTTCAACATCTTTTATTCCTTCCTTTACGGCGAACCATCAAAGTTGGGGTGATCCCAAGAATTAACAGTTTGTTTGTATATATAAGTTGAATAAGTTTTGTTACTGTTATAAATAATTTACCAGCAATGCAACCATTTTTTAAGAGTAGAAAAAATGCAAAAAAGCCATTAGACAATTATGGAAACCTTTTTAAAAAAACTGAAGGGAAACTTAGCGTCTGCTATTTGAAATATGAAAGTTACGACCTAGGAGCCAAGCATCTGAGTGCCTGTTTTTCGAATAGGTAATATTGATTCCAACCAATCCTAACTTTTCTGAAAGACACATCACATTTTTATTACACCCGGTATAAATCGAAAATGAACATTGGTGAAAAACCTGAGATGCTGTGAAGGCTGTCTGATTGCCTATAGATTTCTATGGATTTTCGGATTTTTCTTTGGTAAAACAATTATGCAAGATGCAAGATTTTCAGTTTTATCGAATAAGATTTTATGTCCGGTTTTATGATTGTGTTCGACTGATGAGTTTATTTGTCATAATATTAAGGCTATGTTGTTTGAGCCTAGTCGAAATTTTTCATCTTGTCTCTACAATGTATTCTGGTACCGCAAACGGAATTTTCTCTTTTTGAGGAAGTGGTAAATCGGGTTTTAACATTATATATCTTAAGAACTTTACATATGTGGTGATTGATGTTTTGAATAAAAGAAAGGACAACAATGGCATTGTCTTTGGAGGATTATGTTGAAATTATTTTGTGAAAGAACGCTTAATATCTCTAGTGTGGAAATTATTAGAGACAAGGGCAAATGTAAGATGTTTTAGTTTAGGGTTCAGTGACTCAGGTTAAGATAGTTATACAAGTATAGATGTATACATGTATATTGTCTAAGAGCCAGTGGGCGGCTACCTGCATGTATTTGACCAGACCTGGGTTTTTGTACATTGAGGCCCCTTTACCTACTATACATGATGTGGGGACCCACTAAGTCCAAAGCGGTGGACCCAGGTACTGCGCAGGTGAGACAGGTATTGATTTTTGGCGAATTTTAAATATATTTGACCACGGCTGCCGTTTTGAAATCTTAAAATATATTATTATTTTTATCGAAAAGTAATAATGGCAGACCCTTAGCATGCGGTTAACATTATGGCAGATAGTTTTGGAAATGCTCAAAAAAATATTTTGAAAGTATTTGACCAGATCTGCCATTGAGATATATTATTCGTTATAGTTTTAGAAGCTTATATTAATAACGGCAGACGTTTTTATTGAGTACACTCCTCAGTAGATAACAAAATCTTTACTATTACCCGGTCAGATGTATATGTATTAAGATTGCTGTTTTACATAAAAATAACTCACTTTATAAGATTGATGATAAATGAAGTCGATATATTACGAAACGATCTGAAATGTTGGGGTATAATGCAAGTATGAAAAAACAATTTTTCAATTTTTTTTTACTTATTTAAGACAAAATTTGAAAGGTGTCGGAGTCATATTTGTCGTAGGTTAACTCTTCTTCATTATCCATTGAATCGGACTCTGTAAAAATAAACCGTAAATTGTAAGATATAAACAACTAGTAAATTGATCCGAATATATTTGATAAAGAATTAATTTTTATCAACTTACCAGGGACATTGGTGATTAAGTCGCTAACAAAAGATGAAAGTTGATCTCCATCGAACCATTTAAAGACAAATGTGTTGTCCTGCTCAATCCAATGGGCCAAGGTTGAAGGTTGCTTTTTGTAAGCGTTTTTCCAAATAGTTGAAATGTAATAGGCTCTCAGAAATTATTGGTAGAGTTCACTCTACATGTTGGTATTGAGGTTGCGTCAAAATTTTGTATTTTATTAATAAAATTTTCATTCACATCCGAAGCTTTGTAATTACTCACGGTACTACCAAGGGTCCTTCCTCCAACGACTGATCTAATTCAGCACCAATATCTTTTTCTACGACTTCATCTGTCTCAGAAACGTTTACGTCTTTTACAAGATTACTAAGTACTATTGTATCATCAGTTTTTGAGCCAACAGCTAATGTTGATGGTTGCTCAGTTGCAAACGAGGACATAGTGGGTTGTTGGGTAGCTTCTTTGTTGAGATCGGTTGCATTTTTTTTTCAGCCGTAAACGCTTTGTAACAACTACTGCTATATACAGAATCAAAAATTTCGTCCGGTAGCATTATTTCATTGAATTTTAATTTATAATGTTACCTTAACCTCAAAATTTGTCCATATTTTTCCATCTTTTGAAATTGTCAACAATTTCTCAATCTTTGCTGTAGCACAAAAAACACACTTCACTAGTTCTTTTTCACTCGACATAAGGTCAGAGATATTTAACGAATAATAGGTTAATTAAAGAAAAATAACATAAAGCAACACTGTGTATTTTATTAAATTCACTAAACAGGAGGCATCTCCATTCACAAAAAGACTGAAAACATCTGACAAAAACCGTTAGGTTGGGATTATAACAGAGCCATCTCAGGTATAAACCCTACATTATTTAAGTGGTGTTAGCTATAAAATAAAATACTATAAGCTGGAATGAGTAGAATAGTAATACGTAGGAGAAAGAAAAAAGAGACCTAAATGCAGTGTATGCATACATCTGTCCGGGTAGTAGTATAGATTTTGTTATCTACTGAGGAGTGTACTCAATAAAAACGTCTGCCGGTATAAATATAAGTTTTTAAGACTATAACGAACAATATATCTCAATGGCAGATCTGGCCAAATACTTTCAAAATTTTAAAGCATTTTCAAAACTGTCTACTAATGGTCTACCATTATTATTTTTCGATAATAATAATAATATATTTTAAGATTTCAAAACGGCAGCCGTGGTTAAATATATTTAAAATTCGCCAAAAATCAATACCTGCCTCACCTGCGCAGTACCTGGGTCAACCGCTATGGGCTTAGTGGGTCCCCACATCACGTATAGTAGGTATAGGGGCCTCAATGTACAAAAACCCAGGTCTTGGCAAATACATGCAGGTAGTCGCCCACTGGCTCTTAGACTAATAGATCTGATTTTTTATTTTGGTTGGTTGGTTTTGGCATTATGTTCCTTAAGAACTTTTGTTGGGTGGTCAGTAATGTTTTGAATAAAAGGAAACACCACAGCGACACAAGTTGTTACTTTCATTAAACGGTTTTCTTGTTATAATGTCAGTGGAAAGTTGTTTCTTTTTGTAATACAGGCGTAATTATAGCCCTTTTTTCTTTGTATTATTTTCTCTTCTATTATTGTGAGTAATTTTTTTCTGCGTTTTTCTATTCCATTTTGTAGTTATTTATTAATTTTAACTAATAAAGTCCAATTATTTATTTTGTTCATGTTACGTTCCCTAGGCGTTATTCTAAAATAAGAGTTTCCTAGTCCGATAGGACGTCTGCCGTATTTCGCATCCAAAACGGATCCACGAAACTTTAACGGCGCAGACATACGTTCGTCTGCAGAGTGCGAAAATTAGATTCGCACGGCAAGTTAATTTTAGTTGCGTTGTACTTATACCACAATTCGCGGTCTAATGAATGTTTACTGTTATAAGTTAAGACATTCACAGAAGTTTGTTCGTTACTGTTGCGACGTAACACAATGCGGTGTTGTATTTTCAATTATTCTCTCGCTTCGCCGAGACGTACTTTTAAATCTACGGCTATCTACGAAGGTCGTTCGATAAGTCGTCAGAAAATCTTAGATATAGGGATGTAGTATCGGAAACTCATTTTAAAGAGATGAAAAGAACGAAGTATGGCTTTGGTCTCATCTTAAACAATGCTGTAGCTCTATGTGTGAAAGCTTTGACACCCATATCAGA